TCAACACGGGTCAAACGAACGTTTTGTCGGATGGGTTTGATGTCGTTTGAATTATCTCTCTCTCTCTCTCTTTCTCTCTTTAATAAAAAGAAGACAAAAAGAAAGAGAGAGAGAGAGAGAAAGAGTGGGTGAATTTATCAAATACGGAAAGTTTAGGATTGACGAGTATACTCGTCATTAAAAAGTGTCACGATTTTTTATATATATTAACGTGTATACTTGTTATGGAAAAGTTGTACGATTTTTTCTATCGACGAGTATACTCGTCATGGAGAAGTGAATTTTGTCTATTGACGTATATACACGTCATGGCACGATTCTGACGACACAAAACGGTGCGTGCTTTTAAATGAGAGCGCCACACAGTTAACTGGTTAATAAGTGTAGGTGTAAGTAGGGTATATATATATATATATGTTAGTTATAAGTAAGACTAATGAAAGAAATGAAATAGAATTCTCGAGTAATTGTCTATTATTTCTCATGTATACTCACTTCTATCTTTCTCTCTCTCTCTCTCTCTCTCTCTCTCTCTTTCATGTAAGTCAGAATATGTATGATGATGATGTTTTTACTTTCTTCATAAGCACTTTTACTCTTTAAATATTCTTCATTACTCTCTCTCTCTCTCTCTCTCTCTTTGATTCGATATGTTTCTTGGCAATAGGAAACATGAAATACAAAAGGGAGAATGATGTACAGAGGTTAAACAGGGATGAATACCTTCAGCTAAAGCTGGATAAAGAATGGAATGGGGGATGAATTGGTAAAGGAAATAAGAGAGAGAGAGAGAGAGAGAGAGATACATAGAATTTCTTGTGAAGTGTACATGAAGCGCAAATGCAGAGAAAAAGAAACGTCAGAGATGAGACGTGCTAGCTGGTAATCGAGGTAGAAAAGAGAGAGAGAGAGAGAAAGAGAAAGAGAGAAAGAGAGTCCGCGGAGAATATTAAAAAGCGTTTTTAATTATTTTCATTTTTCATTTATTTACACCCCTACACTCACATGGCCGGAAAAAATGCAGGGACGTAGTCAACGTCATCGTCGTCGTCGTCGTCGTCGTCGTCCTCGTCTTCGTCCTCGTCCTCGTCCTCGTCCTCGTACCAGTCTACCGTAAAATCTACCGTCTCTCTTACTCGTCAAGAGGGGAAAATATTGCAATGCTCCTGGACTTACAACTTCAACAGGCACAAACGACAGAAAACCCCTTACCCCAGAGAAAGAGAAAGAGAGAGTAGAAATCGTGGAAAGGTGGACAATAATTATTCGGTCAACGGTCGAATGAATCGCGGTACTGGCTGACAAATTCATCGCCACCAGAGAGAGAACCCGCCAACACGAGCATCAGCACCACTGGGTATTACCCAGAGCACTGTAGTACCCACCACCACCACCCTGGGATAATATGGAACTACTATATTCTGTGACGCTTCTTATAATGATTTTCCATACTTCTTCTTCTTCTTCTTCAACTTCAACTCAACTTCAACTTCAACTTCAACGTCAACTTCAACTTCTTCTTTATTTTTCTTCATATTCTTCTCATTGCCAAAGGTTAGGACAGGAAAGGTACACTTGGTATCAGAGGTTAGCCACAAAATTTATCTAAGTCATCTTAAACAATTGATGAAATTTGCAATTTTTAACAAATATTTATCATCAACAAACAACAATAATTTACAATTTAATTAAATGAATCATTAATAACAAACATCTCTAATTTTAAATTACGATGTGGTTCGTTCATTAACGTGTATGAAACAACCAACGAGAAACACATAGTAAAGTAGTATGAAAAAAATAAAAATAAAAAGTGAAGAGGACAACACGAGGTGCATCGAACGTGTGATAGGAGAGAAAGAGAGAGAGAGAGAGGGAATGAGGGAGGAGAAGGGAGAAACTGAGGTAGGTTGAGAAACGAAAGAGGAGGTGGGAAAGAATCGACATCGCAACAAGATGACAATAATTTTGCCGGGCAAACGGTGAACTTTTGTACCAATGGACAATGATATCACGGTGACGATGCTCACAGCTACGACAAAACTTTGTCCGGTTTTACATCAGGATCGGTTCGTCCTCCGTTCATCCCCACCACCGCTCCATCGTTCTCTATTTTTTCGTCGCATTCTCTCTGTCTTTCTTCTTCTCTCCTTTTCCAACTATCGGAGCACTGTCGGGGCACAAGGCCCAACCCCGCGCTTCTGAGAACACATCTACATCTCGAGAAACCGGCCGAATTTTTATTCTCCTAGACGGCACGGGTCCAACACCAAGAACAAAACAAACGATTTTTCAGCCAATTTAACAACTGACAATAAATAAAACGAAAGATAACACGGAAGGGATTGAAAGTATATTAAAAAAAAAAATAAAATAAAAACCTTATCATTGTTAACGTTAAGAGTGAAGCTTAAAATAATTTGCTGTTACACTTTTTGAACCCATGAAGAGATTTTACGCATAAATGACCGGAAAATTCGAGTACAGTTTTGACTACGTTTACCAAAGGATACGCGAAACTCTGACGAATAAAGGAATAAAAGCATTGCTAAAAGGTAAAAGGATCCATGGGGGAAGAGAGGGGAATTTTCTTGAATAAGAAAGCTGCGGTTGAAAAGGAAGACCTAGACGACGATATGCTGATTAAGTCTTACCATGATATTCGAAGCTGAAGTATATTAAATAGTTGTAAAGAGACATCTTCTTCTCTCTACCATGTTCTAACTAACTTTCATGATTAAACGACCAAACGACAGAGTTTTCATCCCTCCTCACTTCGATAATAAAAAGCGCAGGCCAACCCTATAAAAAACCCCTAATAAACTCATTCCCTTTTCGAAGGCTTGCTTTTATCATTTGCTGATTCATTCGAAAAAAAAAAAAGAAAAGAAAAGCCCAACATATTTTTTTTTCAAGATGATAAAAGATAAGAACCTACATACGTTCATCACATATGTTAGAAAAAATATTTAAAAAAAGTAAAAATCTTTAGGGGGCACACCATGCAATGATCAAACTTTGAAGTAGTCAGGTGTCAATCTTAAAAATGTTCATCACATTTTTCACTTCACACAAGGGGGTATTCACATTCCCCCTTTGGTGGGAGTTCATAGGGGCCATTTTCACTGGACTACCAAGGACGTTGAATATCTCGTCTTTTGTCGAAACAAAAAAATAAAAAAGACAAAAGTAGTAAGAAGTAAGATGAGAGAATGCAAATGTATTCGTTTCACGACAAAGTCAAGTATAGGATACGTGCACGCGTTAAAGAGAAAGAGATAATCACAGAGAGAGAGAGAGAGAGAGAGAGAGAGAAAGAGAGAGAGAGGAGTGAGGAATGAGCAGGAGGAGAGGGTGGAAGGCCAGTCGACGTCGCGCCGACAGGTGATCGCATACACACGACGATGGAATTCAAGGTGGAGGTGAATTACCTGGCCGGGATTTGAGGTTAGGTCGGCACAATCTTGAGTGACCCTGACTACTCGATGGACTACCACCACCACCACCACCACCACCACTACCACCACCAAGTGGTGGTATATATCTCTCCTTCGTTTCGCATCCTTGATCGATGAAGCCGCATGTTACCTAACGTTTTACACTACTAACGGTTCGACGATTCTCGATCTTACCTCACGTGTGAAATACGATCGAATCTATACACAATCAAATAATAATCATAATAATACTAACCTAAGTAAAGAACCTCATAAACCAGACCAACGAAATAAACGAATCAATGTCAATAAATTACTCAGCTCGTGGTTGCTGTCTAGGCGCTTGACAATCATCCTACCAATAGTCCTTTATGGTAACGAAACATGGTGTCACTTACGTTACGGACCCAAAAGAAATTTAGGCTCTCCGAGAATAAAGTTGTTCGTAAAATGTTCGGTACAAAACGCGATGAGGAAACGGACGAATGGAGAAAACCCCATAACGTAGAAGTACACCAACTGTACAACAAAACCGAACATCATTAACGTCGTAAAATCACGCCGATGGGCAGGTGACGTGGCGCGCATGGGGGTGGATCGAACGGTGCATAAAATACTGGTCGGTAAAGCAACGGGAAAAGACCACTAGGTAGACCGAGATGTAGATGGGAGGACAATATTATTTTGGGATCTTCAAGAAATGGGCTACGAAGACTGCAAATGGAGGTGTCAAGCTCAGGGACGAGAACACTGACGGGATTTGGTATTTGCTGCCATGAACTTTCGAGTTCCTAATGCTAATTAATAATAAAAGCCTGTAAGTATTAGATTTATGATGAAAACAATAAATAATTTTCTAAAGTGTCAACAACTAATAAGAGTTCTGTTGAATCAACAAAATGAAGGTTTAGCTTAATAAGATGACATAAGTCCATAAGAAACTAGCACGCCTTTCAGTTATCATCGTCTAAAGATGATCGTTGAAGTCCTAAGGAGAAGTAGCATAAGGAGGTGGAAGTGGAGGTGGAGGAGGAGAAGAGTTCATAGCCAATCTCCGCAAAGCTCGCCCACGTGCTCCCAGAGTTAACTTAATTACGGCCAATTAAGCGTCAATTAACCGAGTGGCACACGCTGCTCATATGTAAACCTCCTGTATGTACCATCTATCCTCCCTTTCTATCTTACTTGCTCTTCCTCAAACTGTCCGTCAAATTAACGACCTACCGACGACGACGACGACGACGAAGACGACGACCACGACGGCATGCAAGAGTTTAAAGACATAAATGCAAGGAACATGAGAGACCTCTCTATTTTCTTCTTCKTCTTTTTCTTTTTCAACGTACACGTTAGTTCATTCTGTTGGATATGAAAGTGGTGAAATTGAAATTAACCAAGTGACACGGTTATTTACAGTTCTAAAAAACAAAACAAAAATTATACACTTACTGCTATCTATTCAAGCAAGTATTACATTAAATCTAAACGCGAATGGGGAGAGGGGGGTTTGAACGTCCTTATAAAGTCAGCCTTCCCACCCCCGACTCCACTACTCATACCCCGAATGGTGCAACCTACCCTAACTAGAGGATATGACTTTTTTTATGACTACGAGGATGTTCAACAACTTGTTCTTTCCTTTCCTTTTCACACGATTCTGTTTGAAGTTAAATAAAAATCCACTAAAAAGGGTCAAACTATAGGTTTCCAACTATATGGAAATTGAGCTAAAATTCCATATGGAAATTGGCAAACTATATGGCATTCTTTTCAATTTACAATGTTGCTTATTTCCAATCAACCAATAATAATAATAATAATAATAATAATAATAATAATAATAATAATAATAATAATCGAATATTATTCACTTTATTAATCACAAAAGTAGGATCCGATAATTCGATTTGTGTTACACTTGAACCAACACGTGTTATTTAAAAGAAACATAACCTAAAAAAGAAACATATCATCATATAAAGGGTGTAATAAATTAATGAGAAAATGAAGAAAAACGAAAAAGATAGAAAGACTATAAAGTTGAGGTAGAGAAGTACGGGGGATGGAGGGGGGGTGAAGATTGAGGAAGGAAGGAAGAGAAAAAAAGATAAAGAAAAGTAAAAAAGCAAAAAAAAAAAAGGTGAACATGAGACGACGACGACGGAGTTGCTCAAAGGCAATGAGGCGACAAAAGTCAGTGACGCTTAAAAGCGCCACCACTACTACCATCACTATCGTCGTCGTTGGGTTGGTGGTAGGCGCATGAATAATAATCCGTGATTAATAGAGCGCTAAGCTGCCGGCTACTCGCGGCATGAATGGCCGTAGTACTATTAAATGCCGCGTATATTATACCTACGGGGCAATGTATATACGCAAATCTCTCTAGCTGTATTTAACCTAAGTGTACGTCAGTGTCCGTATTTCGTAGCAGCTATTTTACAAACACTGATACTACTACTAACCCCCTCCCCCCACCACCAACTTTCTTTCTTTCAGTCTCTTTTTTTTTTTAACACTCGATGAGGTTGTTGTCCTAGAAAGATAAAAAAAAACTACGTTTCGAAAATATCTTTCGATTTATTACCAACTTGATAATACTTTCTGTTACTAACCTGTTCCTAACCTAAAAAAATTATTCGAAAATCTTTAATATAGTAATAACAGTAATTAGTACTTTTTAAAATGTATTATTTAAATCTTATTGGTCGTATGTCACGTGGGAAGTGACTTACAAACAAATATGTTATTAATATAATTTAAATAATTAATAATTTCATATATTTGTAGTACCCCCATAAAAAAAAATTAAATATTTCTAATAAATAATAAATTATTCTTATAATATTAAACAATATTGTAGCATAGACATGCAACAAATATTTAATTAATTCGGGTAAATACCCAACATAACCTATAACTTACAATTAGTTAGAGTCATCAATATAAAAAACCTGACGACCAATAACGGTTCAAATCTATCATTTAAACACTAAAAATAGTATATTATATTTGTATTATACAATAAAAAAAAGAAAATGTGAGTATACGATATATTTAGGTTGTATAAAAGCTAATGAAAATGAATGCATATCTGTAATAATGATAATGATGATCATGTGAAACCAATAATTGGATTCTTGGAAAACCAAGGAACGTCATTTTGGAACTTAGATTAGTGTGACCATGGTCACACATCGGTTGCTTACTATAGTATAACCCAACGTAATACGTAGTACATATAAGTGGTAAGTAGGTATGCGCAAACGGCAAACAAGAAGTAGCTACCGGCTGCTTCCACAGGTGGTCGGGTCACGAACTGACCCCACTCCATTGCTCCACCTTTCTCTTGCCTTCTCCCATCCCTTCTCGTTTCATCATGAAACCCTCTCTTTCTCTTGTATGCGCGCGCGCGCCCGCGCTAGTTAGAATCCTGCTTGACCTGTGCTAGGATAGGTTGGGATGTACAAGTCTCGGTACTGGGTCGAGTGAGCTGTCGAAAGATGGAGGAGGTGAACTCGTACTGGACATTACATTTCATACTTTCAATCCTTTAACCATATTTTATTCAATTTTACAAAACAAAAATATATAAACAATACTAAACTTGATCATCAAGTAAATGATTGAGGATTTTGACGATAGATGGCCTTTTAAACTCAGCAAACTCAATATTTAGATTTCGAACAAATTCAATTCGACAACAACAACAAGAAAATATTATCGAACGAGATAAAATAATATTGAGCAAATCATAAAGCAACAAAAATATACTAAATTGTTGATAATTGTACAATGATCGTCAGATTTT